TTTTTTTTTTAAATAAAGGAATTATACCTCGACACATCAACAACAGCATATGGTTCTTATTTAGCCCGTTTTCCCAATTTGACTTTCCACCAGAGTCTTTTTTTTCTTACTTGAATCCTTTTTTCTACCTAGCTCAAAAGAAAATATATCTATTGGAACAGAGACAATTACTTTCTTCAATTATATCTTATTCAATTTGTATCCATAAACCTGCCGAAAAAGATAATTAATTAATTCTCTCCATCGGCTTTGCTTTTGACGTATATTACATGTTGTATGTAAATGTCAATCATACATCAAATCTTACTCTACTGTTTTGATTTCTTCAGTCTAATATATTGTATATTAAACATTCTTGTTTATAGTGCGTGTACAGTATTGCTATTCTTGGTCAGTGTGTGAGAATATTGTCTTGATCAATTAGTTGGATAATTTTGAATTTTCTGCATTTATATGAATTTATTAAAGGCTTGCAATTTTGATTACTTGTGGAATTTCTTACGTAAAGAAAGTCGTTGACGATGAAATAATGTGTCCAAGCTGTGTGTCAGAATTCACTAAGACTATAGTAAATGTTGCCGACAATAGTAAATAGTAATAATAATAAATATATAGTAAATGTAAATATAGTAAATGTTTCCAACAGGTTGGAACAACCGGCCCTTACTCAAATGTATGTAAAAGAGTAGTAGTATATATATGTGTATGGGCGGAGAAGGGTTTCATCCTTTCCCTTGCATTCCTATCTCATCGAAAAAACCTGACCTAATCCAACAACCGAGAGAATCCCGTTAGTGTACATCATATATACATATAGGTATATATTATACAAATATATATGTATAATATATGCGTGTGCATAGATGCACGATGCATGCATGTGCGCATAGATACATGTATGTGTGTGTATATGATACGATGTGCGCTTCCGTTGAACCCTCTCGATTTCTTTAGGAAGGGGCTGCAGAAAAGGTTTCGCTTCTCCCCTGCCCATATGTGTGTGTATCTATACATGAACAAAGTACGTCCTTTAGCATACATTGATATAAACTCTGTTATATTTCCCCAAACTCCTTTTCTTACTATTTTATATATTCACCGCGCCAAGCGCATTTTATGTGACTTTTCGTTCATGCCAATTGGATCATCCAATATAAAAAAAAAAACAATGAAAAATTTAATTGATATAGTAGTAAAAATTTATAGTATTGAATCGTATAAAAATATAGTACGTGACATTTATTTATTTGACTGCCCTATGATGACGGTGCCCTCGATAAGGCGGTGAGTGTGTTAAATAATAACTAACAGCTAGAATTTTTTGTTACTTTGAGTTATGATTTGGACTCGAAAGAGAATCCCGTTTTCAACAATTTCACCCTCATAAATTTTTTCAGAGAAAGTATAATGAATGGTTTTTGTCACAATAGTAAGTGACGAGAAGAGTTTTAGGGTCATAAATCATTCGGTATTAGAGTACGCTGTACTAATATTTCAACAAAACCCGTCTAAATATAATAAAAGCTAACTCAGGTAGAAAGGCTACTGTGGAAAGACAAAACAATATCTAATAGACCAAAACAAACTGAAATTACTATGTAAATGTCACTTTCGATGTCACTCTACTACCCGGGAAGATACCTAACGTTTTGAAATATGAATAAAATTTTTCTAATCTGTCGTTTGCAGAAAATGTACCTGGTAAATTTGTGAATATAAAAACGTTTAAATATATAAAATTATATACAAAATATGTCCATATATATTTTTTTTCTTATATAATTTCTGTTTCTATATACAGGAAAAATAATAAGAAAAATTAAAAAATATACTTACATGATCCGATAATTATATTATATCGATTCAACATCGAGACCTTCACCTCCATTATTCGTTATCGAGATCGTGATTTTCTTCTGCAAATTTTGTCATATATACCTATTATGCTCCTCGTAAAACATTTCATCAATTACAAAACGCTGAAAATGTTACATTTCGCAGGTCTCTCTTTATACAGAAAACATCTTTTTTTAGTATCGCGATGCTTCATATTTCTCTAACAATATTTACGATTTGTATCTTATCTTATTGAAAAACATCGCGAGGAAAAAATTGTAGTAACAAAGTTCAGTATAGAGTTCAGATGTTAAGAAGTTGCGTTTCTTTCGAAATATATCCCATAACGATGTTAAATAGTATCTTTTCAGTGGCATGCATATATGCCGACAAACAACGCCAAAAAGAATACAAAATGCTTCAGCAGACCTACATACACGATGGCCTCGTCTACTCTCGCTAACCGGGACACGCGTTAAAGTCACCGTGCGCGCCGCAGATGTTGCCTACGCAAGGATATTAAGATTACGCCGCGCGCGTCAGGATGCGTCAGATTTAATCGCGTCCATATCCGTTTATTCACTGGAATTCTACCATTCGAATTTTAAGCCATACGTCAATAGAACCGAAAGCCTTTTATATCCTCAAAGCGTAAGCGTGACGCAAAATAGAAGCAATTAACGTTAAATTGAATCTTAAAGCGTGTCAATAGTATGCAACCGTGTTATCTTGCCGAGATGCATTTTGCAGTGTTAAACTTGTTATTTGCAAACAGTTCCGCTTAATTAATTCAAGTCAGCAAACGAGTTTATACTTGAATTGTATAATCCTACACAATTTTCGTTCAAGAAAAAGAAAGAGATTCAAGGATGAACATCCAAAAAACTGAGATTCCACGGGATGTCTTCCCGTGAGACAATTGAATATGATTCGCACGCGAATCTCTCTCGGTACAAAACTCTATTTTACGCAGCGCCTTTTGAGACCGGACGTTATAAACATAATTTAAAAAAAAAAAGAAGTAAGTAAGTCAAACTGCATATCTATACATTTCTAGGCAGGATTTTCGCGGGACGAGAGCTCGCGGCGTATCTAGCCGATGCATTATCGCGCTATTTTTATCTAACGGTAAAGATCGTCCCGTGTGGCCCGGCGCGGCGGCGACGGAGACGCGGTGGAGGCGGAAGGGAAACCTGCACTGCCCGGTTTCTTGCTGCCATGATTGGTAGTGGCCGTCAGTGCTTGCTTAACCGTTGGGCCGTTAGCAGGAGCGCGAATATACTCTCCCGGAGCTCTCCTCCGCTCCGACTCTCCCGACTCACTTCGGCGTCAGCTCCTCCCGCGTCCACCTCCCGCGCGTTCCGCAGCGGAAGATCGCGGAACGCCGACGGAGAACCGCACCGTCTACGGCGATTCCCCGGCTGACGATCCGTCTCCGGTTTCGCCTGTGCATTTTTCTCGGTGCAGCCGAGGAAGTTGGGGCCCGCTTCCGTCTCTGGCCAGAGGTGAGTCACCGAGTCACCGAGACGAATTATATTTTGTGCGATGACGCGACCTTCTTTATACCTGTCCTCTCGCAGCAGGTATCCTTCCCTTCGCCTTTCTTCGGGACGCATACCGAGGGCCCATACCGAACAGGTCCGACTGTTCAATGGGCCCTCAGGTCCCATTGTCTTCTTTCCTTTTTTTTTCTTTCCTCGACGATTGCCCTGAATCTCCCCGTGTCGGTGAAAGTTCCAAAGTCGTAGCGACGAATCGTCTGGCGCGGTACTTTCATTGCGGTCAGCAATCTATACGGACCTAAACGAGCTGATGGCAGGTGGAATTTAATCGACGGGGAACGACAGGTCGGTCGTTGAATTTGACATCAACCTCGTCGGTTTCCCAATTTACGGAGCAAACCAATGGAAAGTGGAGTAGCCTAATATGAATACTTTCATGCTGAGAAATTTCGCTCTATTATCATATACGGAGTGTCCCACTTCCCGCGTATTGTCTTAAGGACAGATTCCTTGATTAATTTCGGGTCGATTTTTCCTCAGCGAGAATATGTCGAGAGAAATTGTAATCTCTAGCAACTTTCAACTTTTTTTCAATCGTTCGCAACTTGAAAGTTATTATTTATTATTTAAATTTCTTTATGTTACTGTTAATGAAAAATTTAAAATAAAAAATTGCTTTGAATATTGGTAAAAAAAAATCGTGCACAATATTTTCCACATCCTCGATACGATAAATATGATTGATGAGTACGAGGAATGTCTCGCGGAGTTAGAATTTACAATACGCCCATATCTTGTTTCTTTGCAAAAGAAGCGGAGCATTGCAAAGGTGTCAAATGGAATTAAATCCTACTTATGTTACGAGACTTTCAGCACTAAGAAACTCTTAATTCGATCCTATGTTTGTCGCATGCAGTATTTACCATCACGTATTAGCTATTCTTTCACAAAAAAAGGAGGAAACGATTTCGAAAAATTAAACTTTTTTGAATTTTTAGTTATATTTAATCTTAATAAACTTTATGACGTCTCGTCATAAGATTGAAGTAATACTGATCAGGTGATAGCAAAAGTTTGATGGACAAGGATTTTCTTAACAGAAACGTATAAAAAATTCAGGTTTTAATTTAAAAAATTTAATAAATTGAAGTTAAAATTAAAATAGTTTTAATTAATTTAAAATTCTGTCTTGATCTGTCAAATTCTTCCTGTCTTCTTCTAACAACAAGAGTAAATTAAACTTATTATCGCTTAAGAGATAATGCGTCAAGTTTACGCTTAGATAATGCGAGTAATTAGAGTTAAATAAATGTCGTATTGACAACAGATACTTCTGAACACATAAAAAGTAGTATTTAAGTATATGTTATGTATATCAAATATCCTGATAGCTATTAAGTTAACAGAAAGTAGATAAGAAGTGATGTTTTCCATTTCAAAGAAAACGCTGCATTTTTGCGTCATCGGGATACATGTGATAGCAAGTTTATCTCTATCTTTACAATGTTTGCTTAAAGTTTAAACAGAGCATTTATTACCATGCTGCTTGGCAGCATGCAATGCTCTGTACTTGCTGCACGATGAGGCAAGCTTCTGAAATATAGTTAAGAATTTTGCATCCAAATTGCTACACCGTGACGCTCAATTACTTCACTATTTCCGCGAAATGTAACTGCGTAATATGGGATATCTGCAAAGCTGAACTTTTGACGAATATAATATTTCAAAGATCTCCATGAGAATAGAAACGTTTTCGCTGACACGCGGGTCATTATGTAACACGCGGATGTAACGTACGCAAAAAATATTTCCGTATGTTTTGTCGGAATTCCCCGGCTTTTATTTCTCTCTTTCTCTCTGTCGCTCTGACATCACGATCCGACACGGCTATATCGAGACTTTTATTCGAGGAATAATCGGTCACGGTATTTATCCGCCGTCGTGTCTTTTTTCCCCTCCTCTCGCAGCTAGTATATAATTACTTCATTCGGATCGTAACTTCGAAATTAACGATGACGGATATAGATAATGGACTCCCGGAAAAACCGGTATATTGTGACGAGCTGAGCTTTCGCAAAGAAGGGAAACTGCACGGCGACATAATTATATGGGCATCTGTGCGCACGGTGCACATTGTGTCATTTACGTACATAATGACGTCTAATTACTCGCGATGTTTAACATTCTTGACTTTTATGCGTTCATTTGTATCTATCACTGCCTTCCGAGTTTTCACCTCGTAACACACGTTCGTAGAAAAAAAAATCGCAATTGATTACCGTTGTTACATTGCAAAATCTTGGAAGATAATTCTTGGAAAGCGCAAATCGTTCATTATTTTGCAATGTAATTTTGATGTTGTATTAAGTGACATAAAGATATTTTTTAAAATGCACATTTAATCGTCGAAAATAAAGTTGGGATAAACTACGTTCAAATTACAGATTTTGATTCGTCGAAAATAAAGTTGGGATAAATTACGTTCAAATTATAGATTCTCTGAATTGACATACATCCACAAAGTATTTAAAAAAAAACATTAATTTTTCAAAGATGTTTAAACGTCTTTTTGTTTGAATTAAATAATTT